GCTGCAAGGAAACTCGCAGAGATGGTCAGAGACACTGGGCAGGGGAAGTAAGACTTCCAAAAGCAGTCACCTACATAGGTAAACCAGATGCAGGCTTGGCCTTGCGATCCCAGATCGCAATCCATCAAAACGCTCTATCTCTACAAGGCTGCCCATGAGCAACGAACTAAAGTTCTGATCCAATTCACTCCCAGCCTGTATCTATGAAGTGGGATTTCCTGATGCAAAAACCAATAAAACGAAGGGGAACTCCAACATAAGACTTGAAGCTGAAGATTTCAAGCACATTAACTTGTATATCCACCACTCGTAATAAAAGAAATGCAAATCAACTCGAGGCTGAAATACCATTTCTCATCTATTAGGCTGACAAAATTAAAAAAACCGGACAACATGATCCATTGGCGAGGGCCTGGTGACCCCCGTGGGACGTGAGCTGTCCCACCTGCAGAGGGTCTGGCCCTGATCGGACCTGGCAGTCCCCTACAATTTCACTCTGCACAGCCTCTTGCAACATGAAAATACAGAAGCACAAAGTTTATTCACTATGGCATTATGTGCAGATACAGAATGTTGAAATAAATGGCATGTCCACAGTTCAGGGACTGGCTGTCTCCGCTGTGGACATTCATTAGGCGGAGCGCTGACGGCTGGTTGTCAAAAGCATGAGGACGAGCTCCCTGAAGAGGCAGGAGCATCTCCAGAGCATCCACTGGAAGTCAGATGAGCATCGCGCAAGAGGCTACAACACTACCTTCGTATAAGAAAGGGGAAAAGACAGACAGATGGATGCGTGATGAAGCAGGTGTGGGGAAATGTCAATAACAGAAACTAGGTGGTGGGTATAGAGGTGTTTACTGTAAAATTCTTTCAACCACTGTGTAGCTTTGAATTTTCATAATGCAACATTACAGAAAAAATATTTTCTATATTAGATGGTAATATCAGATGTCACTCAACGACTTAACAGTTAAAACGAAAGCCCTATATGCTACCAACACATTCATCTTTCTCAAGTAAGACAAGCTGAGGAAGTGCTTCCTCAAACACCATTCATTCATTACCTGCTGTCTCTCACCCTTCTCTCTGCCCGCTTAGGAGCCCGTACAGGCACGTCTCTCCTCACTGGCCTGGCCCGTGAAATGTCACCAACCACAGCCATACTGTGTGTCTGCTTACGTACTGTGACCTTTCAGAGGCCGCAAACACCGTCATCTAAGATACTTTCATCCTCCTCCCAAGAACCAATTTTCACTCCCTTGCGGACATGCTTATGGAGAACGCGGGTTCTAATGTGTAGAAAGAAACTGGGAAAATGATATCACATCAGTTAGTTCTGGGGGGAAGTCAAGTGTGGGGAGAGAGAGCAAAGAGGATCTGTGCTGTCCTCTGCGCATGTAGTATCACACACTGTGAGCTGCTCATCAGTCACTCGTATGAAAGCCAGTGTCCTTCAGCTGGTGCTCAGTAAGCAGCTCCACCCACACCATGGACTACACCACCCCACACAGAAACAAACTGGTACATGCAGCCACCTGGACGAACCCCAAATGCACTGCGCTCGGTGAAAGGAGCCAGCCTCGAGAGGCTCTCCACTGTGCGCTCCTGGAAAACACACCAACAGCAGGTGCAGGTGCTGGTGGGAGGTGGTGACCACAGAGGCAGCACGAGGAAACTGGGCTGAAGGAGCTGTTCTGAATCCTGACTGTCGTGGAAATTACACATTTGTCAAAATTCTCAGAATTCTATAGCAAAAAAAGTGAACACCGTTATGTGTAAATTTTTTTTAAAAAGTAAACTGGTAATGATCTTCTCTTCCGCTCAGAACATAAGTGATTTTTTAAAATTATTTCTATAATAATGCACTAAAACAAGGTAAAAATTTCTGTTGACTAGAAATAAAGCAGACAACACAGAGAGGGTGGGGCTGAGGTTACAGGTCCAAAGGATGCTCAGTCCAGAAGAAAACACAAAGGGCCAGAGTTTTGACTCCTACTAAAGTATGGGCACAGGTGGTTGAGGAGCGGAGCCAGGCTCCTCCACCTTAAAGGGGTGGTTCAAATGGCCACAGGCTGCAGCTGAGACCAGCTGCTTGCCCTTGGTGGGGGGGGGGCGGGGACAGATGGATCCCCCAGGTGCACGCAGCCACCATGCTGCAGTGGGCCGCGGACCCTCAGGGAATGGGGAGCTAGTCCAGGCATGGCCCCTGAGGCTGAGCTGGGCAACCGCAAACTCCCTGAGAAGGAAAGGTCAACTCCCATGCAAGACAAGCAATGAGACATTTGGGGGTAGGGGGAAGAGCACCAACCGAATTCACTGCCAGGAAATAGAAGATGGGCAGCCCTTTGGACAGTCCACATGAAGAGACGCCCAACCTCACAAAGGGTCCCTTAAACGCAAGGTCTGGTAGCTGAATCCTTCCTTGAATGGCCTCAAGCACCCCCACCTCCAAACTGACTCCCTCCCTTTCATCTCTATCTACCCAGTGAAATCCAAAACCTCAGCTTGGGTGCAAGCCTCTCGCTCCTCAACTCACAGCACATGAAGTCTATTCCTCAGTCCCCTATAATTACCCCCATATGCTCTGTCCCTATCAAATCCACCCGCTTTAGAAAAAAATTCGTGCGTTATTTATTTACTCAACAAATGCTGAGGGCTTACTCCATCAGACACAATTTGAAGCACTGGGGGTACAAGAGTGAACAAAGCATCGTTGAGACCCCCAAGGAGAAGGAGCAGTCAGGCAGAACAAAGCAGAAAGGGCCAGACCATCAGTTTAATGGGGAGCTCGGCAGGATGAGGGATGCAGCTGGCGGATGAGGTGAGCAGGGTGCTGGGTTATAACGGCAGCCTCTCTGAAGATGGGACTTCCGAAAAGAGAACTGAGTCAGGCCCATGGCATGTAGGGACCTGGTGTCCCACAGAGCCGACCTGTGTGGCTGGAACCAGGGGACAAGAGTCTGGGGTGCAGGGACATGAGGTCACAGGGGCAGCAGAGACCTGGGCACAAGGGGCTTCACAGACCACCGTAAGGACGTTGGCTTTTCTCCTGAGGGAGATGAGGGACCATGAAGGGCCCTGAGAAGAGAGGTGCACAACCTGATGTTTTAGAACATCAACCAGGCTGCTGTGCTGAGTCAACTGCAAGGGACCAGAGGCCAGGGAGGAGGTCCTGGGGGGTCACGCGGGTGAGACGACCCAGGGGCTCAAACAACAGCTGTGGCCGAGAAGGCAGTGAGCAGCAGTCGGGTTTGAGATGAATTTTGAAAGTGCTGAGAGATCAGATGCAGGATGTGGAAGAAATGCGGAGATCACCCACATTCTGACCCGAGCAGCCGGGAGAATGGAGCTGCCCTGGACAGAGCAATGGTGTGTAAGGAGCAGGTTTCACACGTGGAGATCCAGCAGGAGGTGCACTCAGGACATGTTGGCATATGACCCACAGCCATCATCACATTTACAGGTAACGGGGATGAGAAGGATCCAGCAAGGAGGCTGGGGTCATGGCCAGCACGCTAAAGAGAACCAACAGAGTGAGTGGTGTCTCAGTACCACCGAGAGGCAGTGTTTCAAGGGAGCCACAAGCAGCCCGCTCCCAGGCTACGGGCCCGGGAAGCCCCAGGAGGAGATGTTTCAGAGGAGCAGTGGGACCAAAAGCTTGACTGATGCTGGTTCGAGAGACGTGGGAAGCAGATGAAACGGTGACAGGGAGCACACGCTTCTCGGCAATTCTGATCCGAAAGGAAGCTACGGCCTAGAAAGGGTAGCTGGCGTGTCTGTATGTTGACGAGACACTTCGGAGAAAACATAAACGGAAGGCAAAACAAGAACGTTAGCAACGCCGCCTGGAGAAGGCCAGAGAGGGCAGATCCTATACAGGAGGCTGGAGAAGCAACGGTGGGCAGATGCGATGGCGCTGACAGCAGTTATGGTAGAGGCTTTGCCGGCACGTGATCGTATGAACCACAGGTTTTTAAAAGCACCTAAGATGACGTTACACAACTCCAATGACAGAAATGGCATGGCGGGTGGAATGATTTACTTTTAAAATCTATTTTTATTTTTTCCCAACCAAGCAGCATGTTTATCTTATTGGTTCCGCTAAAAAAAAAAAAAGTGACAGAAACCATTTTATTTGCACACACAGCATGTAAAAAAAAAAATTCATCAGAAAATAAAAACGAGAGAGACTAGAACTCACCTATAACCCCAGGGATAAACGCTATTAGCGCTTTGCCGTGTTATTTCCGACAAGGTGACACCTGAGCCCGAGGGCTGCAGGTTTCTGTGGGAAAGCGTTCCTGATCGGGGGCGGAGGGGCTTGGCCACCTGAGGACAATGGAGGGAGGCTGGAGACTCCACCACCCCGGCTACCTACTCCTGTCACAAGGTGACGCGGGTGCGCATTCGCCCCAGGTGCCCCTCGTTGACCGCTGAGCAGATCCCTTCCACTCCGCACCTGTCCCCACACCTGAGGCGGCGGGAACGCCTCGCGCGGAGAACCAACGCAGTGAGGACGCCCACCCTGTGGAACGGGTCGGGCATCGAAACCTAAGAACCAATTCAAAACGAAGCGCCAGACCCGCCGCGAGGTTTAATCACGCGGCGTGAAAACAACGCGAAGCGCCCAGCGGACCCCCACGGCCCCACGCCCGCCCCGCGCTCGCGTCCGGGCGGCCGCGTCTCCGCGCGGAGCCAGCCCGGCACCACAACGCGCGCGGCACGCCCCACTCACGCGCCCCGAGGGCCCGGGTCGCCGCCCACACGACGCCCCCACACACACCCACGTCACGGAGCCGGCGCCCTGCGCCCCGCCCCCGCCGTGCTCACCAACCTGCCGGCCCCGGCCGGCGCACACCCCCCGCCGGCCCCGGCCCTCACACACCATCACAACCGCGGCCTATTCGCGACGCGACGCCCAGGTGAGGCGACCGCGACGGGCCCTTCAGCGCAGGGCCCCCAGAAGCACCCCGCTCGCGTCCCACTGCACCCCCGCTTACCTGGGGCATGGGCCGCGCTCCGGCCGCGTCCGGCTGGCGTCGGGAGCTGGGAGAGAGCGGCTGGTATCCAGTGGGCGCCGCTCCGTTCCGCTCATCCGGGGCCGCGGGCGGAAGAAGCGGCGGCTCGAGCCGGAAGTGACGCGCGCCCGCGCCGCAGCTGCGCATTGGTGGCTGGCGCTGAGAGGGAGGTGTCGAGACGGCGGGAGGCCAGGCTAGAGAGGCCATACGGGGGCGCGGGCAGATGGACTGGCGGCGGGCCGGGACGCCGGGCGGGTGAGGACCCGGAGGCCGTGTGTTGGACGTGCGCTCGCTCGGGGCCGTGGGAGCACCGGCTCTATGCACGGCTGGAGGCCGCGCAGCCAGCCCCCAGAAGGCGGGTCAAGTCTGCGGGCTGGGGGTGCAGCCGTCCCGCTGGTCCGTCCCGGGGTTGGGGATCTTGGGGTGCTGGCGGAGTTGGGGAAGCCACCGGACTGGGAGCGCCAAAGAAGGAGGCAAAATGCGCTCTGCCCAGAATCTGGGGTCGGGGAAGTGAGCCAGCGGAAGGTGGAGAGGGAGGAGGAGGGGAAGAAAAGGGGGGACCGGGCTTCTCAACTAGAGATGCCTACAGGGGTGCCTACCTGTAAGAATGACAGGGACCGGGACCTCACACCACATGCAAAAGTGAACTCTTAATGGAACAGGTACATGATAAAGTTAGAAAACGTAGGTGCCCGTCTTCACAACCTTGGATTGGACCGTGGATTCTTAGAGTTTATACCAAAAGCATGAGTAGCAAAAGAAAACGCAGATACATTGAACTTATCATCAAAGTTTAAAACACTGTGCTTCACAACGTCCTCCACAACTAGACTGAAGAATAAAAGGATAGCAACTTGTCTGTTCCCCTTCCCCCAATTTCCCAATAAAAATCTTTAATAAAAAATAATAATAAAAATAAAACGCTGTGCTTCAAAACGTGATTAAAAACAACCCACAGAATGAGGGGAAATATTTACAAATCATATAGCTGATAAGGCACTTGTATCTGGAATAGAGAACTTACAACTCAATAGTTAAAAAGGCAAAGGACTTGGGCCGGCCGAGTGGCTCAGTTGGTTAAGAGCTCGCTCAAGAGTGCAAGCTCTGAGCAACAGGGTCGCCGGTTCAATTCCTGGCCAAAGTTGAGCTGCCACCGAGCTGCCAACAGCTCAGCTAAAAAAAAAAAGAAGGCAAAGGACTTAAACATACCTGAAAATAAAATATCTAATAGTCACATGTAAAGATGTTTGGCCTCATCAGGAATCGGAAATACAAGCAAAACCAAAAGGAGATACTACTTAACCCACTAGGATGGCTAGAATAAAAAAGTCAGATAATAAGTGTTGACGAGGCTGTGGAGAAGTCAGAACCCTCATACACTGCTGGTGGGCATTTTAAATGATGCAGACACTTTGGAAAACAGTTTGGCAATTCCTCAAAAAATTAAATAGTTAATATATGTTCTAGGAATTCTACTCCTAAGTATATGCCCGAGAGTTAAAAACATCCAAACAAAAACATGTACACAACCAATATTCTTAGCAGCATTATTCATAGTACCCAAGAAATGGAAACCACCCAAATACCCATCAACCAATGAATGACAAAATTTGGCCAAGCTATTCAACCAATAAAAAAGGGGGAAAGGGGGTGGTGAAATATTGACCATGCTACAACACAGATGAACCTTGAGAATGTGCTAAGTGAAAAAAGCCAGACATAAAAGGCCACATTTGGTATGATTCCACTTAAAGGAAATGTCCAGAATAGGCAAATCCATACGGATGGAAAGTGGTAAGTGGTTTCCAGGGGTTGAGGGGAGGGTATGGGGAGTGTGACTGCATCTGGTTGTGGGGTGTCCTTTTGGGGCTGATGAAAATGTGAAATTAGTGCTGATGGTTGCACAGGTTTGTGAATTTACTAAAAACCACTGAATTGTTCACTTTCAAAGGATGAGTTTATGGTATGTGAATTATGTCCCAAAAATTCACTTTTAAAAACAGGCTAAAGCGATCAACTCAGCAAAACCCAGGTGCAGATGTCCTCTCTGATGGCAAACACGCTGAAAATTTTAAAAGGAAAACATGGCTATAGAAGGGAGACGCAAGAGGAGCAGCCGGAAGGGGATAAAATTAGCTGGATAAAAGGAGAGTGCTCCTTTGTAAGTGCTGGTAAGGCGCAGAGATGTTAGCGGTAAGAGAACGTTTAGGGGGAAGCTCTGAGCAGGCGGGAAGTGGTGATGGGAGGCTGAGGCATTCGTGTTAGGAGGGTGGCCTCTCCCCGTGCGCCATCGAGAAGGAAGGAGTGAGTTCAGGCTTGGAGCAGGATTCAGGAAGCCGGGGGTTCCGTCTCATGGCTTCTATTCGCTAATTAAGTGGGGGTGCAGTACTGCTGACAGAGGGGCAGCCGTCACTAGTCCGGGAGATGGAGCAATTTGAAATAGCGAGGGTGCATAAGGGGGGTAATGCCGTGGGAAGGCTCAGCAGTGGGACCCCGGGGACAGTTGGACTGTTGGCGCCTGGATGTGAAGTAGCACAGCATTGATGGGACTGAGCGCGTGGTTTTCTCTCCCAACTCGGGCACCAGCTTACAGAAGGCCGGCTTTTGGGCGAAACAATGGCTGGGGGCTTTGCTGTGCCAGGGCAACTATTTCAAGGAGGCATAGAGCCCCTAGGGTGTTTGACGGTGAAATTTAACTACCCTAGCGGTAACCCCGAGTGTGGCTCGGGTTAATTTTCACTGCCAGAAACGGTAACCCCGAGTGTGGTTTGGGGTTAATTTTCACTGCCAGAAAGTGGTAACCCCGAGCCACACTCGGGATTACACTGCAGTGTCCCAGAGAAGTCCCTTACCTGCTCCCTGCAATCCTGCGGTGTCCTCCTGTGATCGCCGATGAGAATGCCAGCCGATGACAAGTTGCAGTGTTTTTTATTTGATTACATTATTGAATAAAATTATATAATTTTTATAATTATTTATAATATTATAATTTATGATTTTGTGTTTCAAACTTTATCATGCCTGGGATATCATGCCTACTAGACTCTTGTTTGGACAGATTTAAGTGAGTAATTCCTAAGAATTACAGGCCTACAATATAAAACAACAAATTTCCATGCAAAACAATGTACTGCTTTGGGTACAAAATTACTGGCATAATCAGACCGCCAGGGAGGTTTTTAAGTGGTAGGGGCCAGGATGCAGTGGCTGGAAGAAAAGAAAGGAGGGGTCACGGATGGGAGGTGGTGACACCTGCCGCCGCCGCTGCGCTGCGCTGCGCACAGTAACGGAGGGTGCTGCCCCCCAACGGCGATGATGCGAGCCACCACTTAAACGAGCATTTCCCGTCCTAGTTTGACCAAGCATAACTGCAAATCCCTGCCTATGATGTCCTATTTAATTCCTACGCTTAGAATACTGAGTTTATGAAAGTGAAATGATCTGTTTTGTGGATTATTTGGGCTGGCTCTTTGGATGAGAAGCTTTTAATTTTTTTTTATTAGTTTACAAAACAGCATAATGATTAGACAGTTACACACCTCACAGAGTGATAACCCCAACAAGTCTCAGAAGCTTTTATGAAAAGCAATTTATCCACGTTTTTGTTTGTTTGTTTAGTGCTTTTTGCATCCTAAGAAATCTGCCTACCACAGGCTCAACGGTTCTGGCTTTCAGACTCAGGTCTGTGATCCATCTCGAATGAACCAGTTGTTCCAGCCCCATTTTTTTTTTTTTAGATTTTTATTGGGGAATTGGGGGATGGGAACATTGCTGGGGAATTGGGGGAAGGGGAACAGACAAGTTGCTGTCGTTTTTGTTCTTCAGTCTAGTTGTGGAGGACGTCGCTTCACTGGCCCAAGTTGG